TCTACCTATGTGGTCACTAAGAGTCAATACTGACCTGATGGCACTTCATCAATAACATTCAGAAAGCCTCTCTGGAAATATTTTGGGTGAGCAGATTCTGGAATGAGTTATCTTAAATTAACCAGGCCCCAATACAAGATGATTATCTTGAATAGCCTATAAAAGCCACCAGGCAACCAGTGCGGCTGCCACCATATTGATAATAGTGGTCGGCACAAGATAACATGCTCTTTCTGAAAGTTTTTTCAAAGGCAGTCTCCTATGCACGTACCATTGCAGATGGTTTGAGATAACGCCTGCATGATAATAATGTCTTCTACTCCAGGAGCATTTTTGTCAATAAGGCCAGCCTCCCACTCTAAGCTAAGATCAGTTTGCCAATAGGTTGGCAGACTCCACATTGATGAGGAAGACTGACATACCTACAAAGAGCAATAAAGGTCTTAGGGATTAGAGTCTCAGAGCATCTGAAGCTTGGTAGGTTTAAATATTAAATAGATTGTAAGTGGTTTATTTCTTTGTATAAATTAATTCCAGAAAGTATTAGTTCAGTAACTAAATTAAATATGCACCCAGCCATAAACATGAATATCTCATTCTCTAGAAACATATTTTTCTTAAAAGAGCCACATAAAACATGACAGAATCACAGGGGGTTGACTGGGTTGGATCTACAGTATGGATAGTAAAATCAAGTAACAAGCTGTCTGGAGAAGGTGGGCATCGGTCCCATTAACTATTGAAGCAAGCCACTGCTGCTAATTCCCAATTACCTTCCTGAATTGCTTTCCAACTCTGTAGAAAAAATTGCAAAATTTGCCTTCCACAGGATGTTTTTGTATGGAAACCAAAAGTGAACAGAGACAGCCTGGAGAATGCAGGCATTGATCCTGCTACCTCTCGCATGCTAAGCGAGCGCTCTACCATTTGAGCTAATCCCCCAACCCATCTTTTAAAGCCTCAGTATAAGATGAAGAAACTGGGGACAGGTAAAGGGTCTACTTCTTCAGCTGCCAAGCAACCATGACCTAACAAAATGTAGGACAAAATTCAGAAACAGAGGTGATGGAAACTAAGGGCCAACTGGCCAGATTCCTTGAAAGTGACCAAGACACATCTGAGCTCAGTTATCTGGAAAGAGTTTGAGCTGATTGATCCTGAAGAAGTGGGCAAGGTCCTCACAGCTGTAAGCTCATCTACCTGAGTTCTGGACTCATCTCCTTCTGGGTTTGCTAAAGCTTCGGAGTTTGCATGAGATTGAATTCAAGTGCTGGTTAATGTCTCTTTGTGAGAGAGAGCGATTAGGGTGCCGATTTGCCTCTGGGTGTAATTCAAGGCATTGGTTATTTCTTATAAAGCCATGCATGGGATGGGTCCAAGTTACTTGAAAAATTGGCTTACTCCTGTGGGACAGGCCCACCACACTATATGCTGGTAGAAGGAGCCTGCTGTCAGTCAACTTCTACAGAGTTGGAAAGCAGTTCAGGGAGGCAACTGGGAATTAGGCACAGTGGTTTGCTTTAGTAGATAGTGGGATCAATGCCCACCTTCTCCAGACAGCCTGTTGCTTGAAGATGCATACCGAAGATGCACCCCTGGGATTCTGCATGTCAGTTTCTCCGTGGCTCTTTTAAGAAAAATGATGGAGCAGCTCTGCTAGGATATTGTGCAGTCAGTTCAAAGGATAGAGCACTTGCTTTACATACAAGAAGTAGCAGGACCAGTGACTGCATTCTCCTAAAGAAAGTTTTATCTTTTAGCAGGTAATTTAGACAATTTTTTCTCTCTCTCTAGTTTCTGCATCTTGTCCTGAGGTCTTGTAGTTTACTGCCTCAAAGCTACCCGGAGCTGGGGAATTAGCTCATCTGGTAGCTTTGCATGTAAGAGGTGGTGGGATCAATATCCACATTCTCTGCATGAGATGGGCCCAGCTTACTTGAGAAACTGTCTCATTCCTATGGGAAAGGCCCTCCCTCTCTATGCTGCCAGAAGGGACATGCTGTAGGTCCCATTGGTCAAGGAATTTCAGCTGGCAGAGTCCATGAGAAAAGTATTCTCTGCTGTGCTACCCACTCTTTGGATATCTTGCCCCCTGAGATGACATTGGCTCCCATCTTCCTGACTATCCACAAGAACCTGCAGAGCTGGCTCTGCCAATTGGCCTGGAGCCCCAAAGGGAGAGTATCACACTGGAGGTGGTAATATGAGAGAGTAGTTGGGGAATTAGCTCAAATGGTAGAGCGCATGCTTAGCATGCAAGAGGTAGTAGGATCAATACCTGCATTCTCCAATTTGTCTCTACTTACTTTTGATTTCCATACAAAACATCCTGTTCCAGGCAAATTTTGCATATTATTCTGGACTTCTACAAAACTACAAAGTAGTCCAGGAAGATAATTGGGAATTAGAGGCAGTGGTTTGCTTTAATAGGTAAGGAAATCAATGCCCACCTTCTCCAGATGGATCTAGGAGAATTAACCACAGCCACATGTCTGTGCCAACTCTACTGGGGGGGAGGGGAACTGCAGCCAGCCCATCCCAGGCATTTATCATTGGCTGGTCCTTTGCCAGAGCCCTTTCCAATCCAACACACCTTCCTCCTGGGCAATTTGCTGAAAGATACTTGTCTCCTGCACAATATCCTAGCAGAGCTGCTCCATCATTTTTCTTAAAAGAGCCACGGAGAAGCTGACAGGTAGAATCCCAGGGGGCTGGCTGGGGTTCATCTTCGGTATGCATCTTCAAGCATTGATCGCACTATCTACTGAAGGTGGGCACTGATCCCACTATCTACTGAAGCAAACCATTGCCCCTAATTCCCAATTGCCTTCCTGAACTGCTTTCCAACTCTGTAGAAGTCCAGAATAATATGCAAAATTTGCCTTCAACAGGATATCTTTGTATGGAAAAGCAAAAGTGAATAGAGATAGCCTAGAGAATGCAGGCATCGATCCTGCTACCTCTCGCATGCTAAGCGAGCACTCTACCATTTGAGCTAATTCCCCCACAGTTCTACTGTGTTACAAAACCTTGACCGACAGCAGGCTCCTTCTACCAGCATAAGTTTGGTGGGTCTGCCCCATAGGAGTGAGCCAGTTTTTCAAGTAACCTGGATCCATTCCATGCAGGGCTTTATAAGTAATAACCAATGCCTTGAATCGCACCCAGAGGCAAACCAGCAGCAAATGAAGCTTGTCCATGGATGTTTCCATGAAGTCACCAGAAGTCAAGCTCAGTCTGGGAGTCCCTACTACTATTCTTGTTAAAATCTAATAACTACATTAGCGCCTATGGAGATTCCCAATCATCCAGGTCATGATTGTCCCAAATGTCCTATTTTTCTTTCCTCAAAAGGCAACTGGACTTTGCTTCTTTTCCTTTGGAAATGTTTCGCTTCTCACTCAGGAAGTTTCTTCAGTTCTGAGTAGTGGGGAATAGAAGGATTTATATTCTTTACAGTCATCTGGCTGTTAGCTCTGTGAGAGTTGTTGAAGCCACATGGGGATTTATCAGTATCCTCAGAGTCACCTGAACTAGAGCGCAAATTGGTGTGTATCCTTCTTGAAAGGCCTGCATTGTAAACAGAAGATAGGTGGTGTCGTAAAGGTAGGATATAAACCCTTCCATTCTTCAGCAGATAATATGGCATAACTGTTCTTCCACATATATCAAGGCGGCTTCAACACCCTTCCCCAGAAAGGGAAGATTGATGAAAGTTGTCCAACACAGTAAGGTTCAAGGACAGGTTGTTGAGAAGGCACTCCCTGACTCTTCAAGGCTGATAGAATCACTCTCTCCCTCAAAGAAGCATTAACCAGCACTTGAACTCAATCACATGTAACCTCCCTATCTTTAACAAGCCCAAAAGGAGATGAATCCAGAACTCAGATGGCTGAGCTTACAGCTGTGAGGACCTTGCCCACTTCTTTGGGATCAACCAGCTCAAACTCTTCCCAGATAACTGAGCTCAGATGTGTCTTCGTCACTTCCAGGGGAGCTGGTCAGTTGGCCCTAATTTCCATCATCTCTGTTTCCTGAATTTTCACATGAATGTTTTTTGCTATGTCATGGCTGCCTGGCAGCTGAGGAATTAAACCATTTACATCTCCCCAGTTTCTGCATCTTGTCCTGCAATACTGTGACATGGTAGAAGAAGGCTGCCACACAGTAGGGGAATTAGCTCAAATGGTAGAGCGCTCGCTTAGCATGCGAGAGGTGGCAGGATCAATGCCTACATTCTCCAGTTTGTCTCTATTCACTTTTGATTTCCATACAAAGACAGGCAAATTTTGCATATTATTCTGGACTTCTACACAGCTGCAAAGTAGTCCAGGAAGACAATTGGGAATTAGAGAGTGGTTTGCTTTAATAGGTAGTGGAATCAATGCCCACCTTCTCCAGATGGGTCTAGGACAGTTAACCACAGGCATATGTCTGTGCCCACTTTACCACAGGCACCCCACTGCAGCCAGCCCATCCCAGGCATTTATTATTGGCTAGTCCTTTGCCAGAGCTCTTCCCAATCAAATGGTCTATGCACCCTCTTCCCAGGCAATTTGCCGAACGATACTTGTCTCCGGCCAATCCATAAAAGCAGGACAAGTAACCGGAATATCAACATTTTTGCGAGAGGTGCCATGTTTGGAATTGTACAAAAGTGGAAGTAGGAGCAATGCTCCTGATTGAAAGCAGGCCTCCATGTTGCTTCTCCTTCTGATTTGTCTCCTGGATTCGCTTAATTTTACATTCCTCCCTTGTATCACTGAGCCCTAACTGGATAATAATTGAGAGATGAAATATCTATTGGACTATTTGGTTCATCATTGTGTTTTACTCAGGATGTAACAGAAGAAAACCCTGGAATCTAGTATTAAGGTCCCTATCTCTCCTATTTGGATTATTGCCTTTATCAAAATGAAGAGCAAAGGAACCCGGTGATTATACTTAGAAGCTGTTTATTACATGACAAATAATCAGCTTGACTGAGAGTCATGGCGGAATGGGATACTACCGAAGGACACTGCATGATGGATGGAGGGCTTCTGAGAAGCAGATGTCTCCCTGTGATAATGGAAGGTTCTTCGAAATCTCTCTGTCTTCTGGAAGGTACTTGGATGGAGTAAAAGCATTGCAGTGAGAATTTTTGCAGCAACATGTGATTTCTTTATAGATTATGTCTTCTATTTCGTGAATCTCTGTTTGGCTGCCTTTAATGTCACTGTGGTCCGTGGTGTATTGGGTGGTTCAAAGGAAGAATATATTTTAAAAATAAAAGTTTGATGGGGGAGAAAAAGAGGAAAGGTAGGGGGACCGCATGAAATTCCAACCCACCTCAACACGCACACACACACACACACACACATTGCCTTGGAGCTCCATGTTTTACCTCCATAAAGAGATTTCTTGAAACAATGATCTGTGCTGCAAGCATAACAGGCAGCAGTAAATGGACCAGGAAATCTCTGGAAGCTATTGTAGCACCAGGTACAATGAGCTGAAACAAAGAAGGTTAAAAAGGTCAAGACCTGTAAACTACAACAGGGATTTTGCATGATTTGACTCATAGCATTCTTATTATGGCTTGTCACACCATCAGACAGATGTTTAGAGTGGTTTTGGCATTTTTATCTGCCTATTGAATCCTTACCAAGGATCTGGACAGGCAGATGTTTTTGATTATTATTATTAATATTTCATTACATATTTTTATGAAGGGGAGATTTGAATGCTGTATGCTTGGCTATGCACCTATACATACTGCTGCTAGTTGGTCCAGTACAACTTCTCAATCCTTACTGCTTGCAATGTAGATTAACAACATCAAATGCAAGTTCATGGTCTGAGTGTTGATCCTACCCAGGGCAAATTTCACTAAACTTTCTTCTCCAGATATTGTATCTCCTGCTGTGCCGAAATATAGCAGATGTTGATGCTCCCCTAAAGAATGAATTGTCCTCTATAATTTTCCTGGTCTTCAAGTCAAACTGAGGATCAACCAAAATCCTTGAATCCATAGTATTTCTGCATGCAAATGAGCTTCTACTTTTAGGGGAAGGAATCAAATCTCAGCTAAAAAGTTTCCAAATCCAACCATGAAAAATTTCCCTAAATATCAAAGACTGTTATTTACTTACCTATAGTGCCAAAGAGCAGGCCAACGATCCCAAAGAGGAGAATCTTAGCCATCTTTAATTTCAAATGTATGGCTTCTTAGCTTGAGAAATGGTGATTTGTCCACTGCAATGAACACGTGTTGAGTAATGGAAAAGGGTAGAGTTTTGGACTCTTTTGAAATGATGTACGAATATGTTCTGAGAGGCCTTTCCTCCAGCAATGTTCTTCCAGGAGGACCAATATAAAACTTGTGGTGATGTCACTTGCTAGAGTCCTGAGAAACAGAGGATTGCTTGTGCCAAAGAAAATGAGACATTCTTTTCCTGCTGTGGCAGGCACACAATCTGGACTTGAAGTTTATCTCAAGACAATATGGTGCACTGAAATGACAGGAACAGAGAGACCAGGTTGATGTATTGCCCAAAGAGCACCCATCCATGTTTTCTTCACAGGGAAGCTCATATAATAACATTCATATTTCACAATATAACAATAAGTTAGTTTTCAAAATGATACACCTGAGCAGTTGCAGTCCCTGAAAGAACATTGATATCTACAGGACTTCTTGAATGAGCTTGTTAGTGTCCTTCACCCAAGATCAACTTTAATATATGGCTAGTTGTGTTCCATTCCATGGTTTTGTGTCTGACCCCCACACCACTGTGGTGAGGATCTCTCTTCTCTGCTTCCTTTTACCTATTGGCCCTCCAAGAGTAGGTGCACAATCCATCTAAAACCAATATGGGCCAAAGAGCAAAGAAACCGCAGGATCACACTAAATGAGGTTCCTTCCTGGAAGGCAGAGTAGAAAAGGAGAGGATTCTTTAGCATCATGACAAATTAAAAATCACCCCAGAGCCTGCCCACCCCAGTAGTGAAACAGACAGAGTCCAATCAATGTCCAGAAAGATGTTTTGGGAACGTCTCTAGTTCAGGTACTCTGTGCCACCTTCGTGCATGCCATTCCCAAGATGGTTGGCCTTGAACCTGTGAAACAACCCATGCTGGCCCCTCTTTCTTCCATAAGTCCAATCGTCCCCATCAGTTCCCAGCATTTCCACTTTCACCCCAACTGCACATTTCCCCTCCCAAGTGCCCTTGCTCCTCCCCCCCCCCCCATTTCCATGGCAGCTGGCAGCAAGCTTAAGGAAAAGTGAAGATGGCCAGGTTGACACTTGGTTGACTGTGCCATGAACCCTAATAATATATTAAAGTCAATGCAGCCTGACTTCCAGCCAAATGAAGGTGATTTGGCTAAGCTAAACCTCTTTATTGGGATTAAAACCCTCAAGAGTTCCCCAAACCTGGTTCATCCATCTGTTACAAATATTGGAAGGAAGGAAGGAAGGAAGGAAGGAAGGAAGGAAGGAAGGAAGGAAGGAAGGAAGGAAGGAAGGAAGGAAGGAAGGAAGGGCTTGTAAGATTTTAGGAACTGTGAATAATGTCTTTCCTGGGTCCTTGCTTGCCAAAATGTTACGTAATGAAGTGTTGGAGCATTCACAACTTCTGAAGGCATGTCATTACACTGATTAATTGTTCTAACTGTCATGAAGTTTCTCCTTAGTTCTAGGTTGCTTCTCTTCTTGATCAGCTTCCATCCATTGCTTCTTTTCCTGCCTTCAGGCACTTTGGAAAATAGCTTGACTCCCTCTTCTTTGTGGCAGCCCCTGAGATATTGGAGCACTGCTATCATGTCCCCCCTCATCCTTCTCTTCGTTAAACTACACATGCCCAATTCTAGCAACCGGTCTTTCTAGGTCTCCCATGCCTTGGCCTTACTGTTCTAGCAAAGGGGGGAAACCAGCTCTTCATGACTCCTTGGAAAGTTAAGAGGATAGGGCCTGCCAGAACTCAAGGGGAAGGTATCCAATAGGGCATAAGCATTGTAGATCGGCATCCAATATATTTGGCATGCTCCAGAACTCAGATGGCCAAACTCACAGCTGTGAGGATCTTCTCCACTTCCTCAGGATAGACCAAAATGTCTGCCACATAACTGAGTTCGGTTGTGTCTTAGTCCCTTCTAGTGGATCTGACCAGCTGGCATCTACAGTAGTGGCCAAAATTATGGAAATCTTTTGGGAAAAGTGTACATTTGCGGTTTGATGGCTTATAACACCACTTTGTTTAGAGTAGTACCATAAAAGTATATATCAATGGAAAGATAATTTAATCAAGAATGTAATGCAACAAAGTTTGTTCTGTTATCTGTAGTCTATGAAAAGTTATAGCCAAATAACCAGAAAAAGGAAGCACAATTTGCTTAGGCAGATATCCGGTAACTTTCCTTCATCTGATTGTAGCCAATGAGCGTGAGTGTTTAGAGAGCCAATCAGGTATCATCTTGTTTTGGCAATGGGCCAATTAGATCACAGTAGGATTCAGTTATTGATGTCATATATTGAAGCTGAGAGGAGGACATTTGTCAGTGTGTTATGTAACTGCTATCAAGCTGGTTGGGGTTTTTTTTGTGTTCTTTCATTTAGTGAGCTTATAAAACGTAATAAAATTAAAGTAATGGTGCAAAAAGTTGACTGATTGCCCAGAAAGCGATGTAAAATACTATTATTAAGTGAACAAGGCTACAGTTATAAAGAAATCAGAAGAAAAATTGGTGGAAACTTAACCAAAGATGACATTTCTACTGTACACTTTTCCTAAAAGGTTTCCAAAATTTTGGCCACTACTATAGCTTCATCTGCTCGGTTTCTGCATTTTGTCCAGAATTATTATATTTTGGTGGGTCAAGGATGCCTGGAGCTGGGGAATTAGCTCATATGGTAGAGCGCTTGCTTTGCATGCAAGAGGTGGTGGGATCGATACCCACATTCTCCAGTTAAATATTTATTTTACTTTATAATCAGATTATTTTCATCTTCTTAGTTGCTGTCTCTTGTCCTGAGTGCTTGTAACACAGTTAATCAAATCTTCCAGGCAGTTGGAGAATTAGCTCATATAGTAAAGTGCAACCGATGAGGGGATTGATGTCAACGCTCTGCTCATTTTTTTTATCCATACATTAATTTAACCTCATTGAATCTATTTGTACACACTAGTTTGTATCTTGCCTTTTCTTTTTTATACCATGGAAAGTACCTCAAAAAGCAACTGGGGAATCGTTCACTCTTTGAGATGAAATAACCAGAGCTACTCATGAATAGCCACTCATGAAATCAGTAATTTTCTTGTCTACTACTTCTGTATAAGAATCTCGCCAGACTTCTTGACTTGCCCTGGGAATAACCATAGATGGATCTTGGGCCAAGTCAAGCTTATGCCAGTTGCAGCTGAGCAACAACTCCAAGCTAGGCCCTCACATGACCCCTCCTTCCAGCCTAGCTGGCACCTCCACAACAATTTTCCAACTTATCTCCATAACAACACTCTGCTGTCTCTTTTTCTGTCTGCAGAGTCAATTCTATTCTTTGTATGTAATCACAAGTCTATACTTGCCTCAGGACATTCAGAAAACTGATTGGGACTGGTGTTTCCATGTAAGAGGAGAAAGGATAGGGATAGGGAGGGAGGAGGGGGAGGAGGAGGAGGAGAAGAAGAAGACAATATCTTATTAGTCAATATGAATCTTTAAATGTTAGCCTTGCCATTCTTCCTCCCTTATTATAACTCTCTCTCTCGCGCGCGCGCGACAAACCAGTCCAAGGCCCAAAGTCAACAAACCTGGTAGCCATTATCATCTGTCTGTGACAACATACTAAGGAACAGATGTGTGCTGTGCTGTGCTGTGCTGTGCTGTGCTGTGCTGTGCTGTGCTGTGCTGTGCAAGTTACATTGAGAGCTAGAGGGCCTCAGGTCAAAAACGTCAGTTTTGTCAGCAGCCAACGATCACTGAGTTCCATATCTGAAAAACAAAAAGTTAAATAGCAATTCAAATATGGAAAAGAAACATCAAAGGGACATAATCAACTGTTGAATTACCTCCAGCTCTTTGTCAAATAATACTTCTTAGATCTCCATGGCCTCTTGAGGACCTGGCTCACTTCAGCTGAGTTTCACTTGGGAACTGAGGAAAAGATTGAAGTTATGCTCTGACTTGGAGAAAATGCTGAAGCCCAAATATTAGGGGACATTCTGGATGGAGGTTTTACCTGCCTGATTTGGAGGGATTCTCTTACTCCTAATCCAGGCGTCCCTCCAAAGCTCCGAATGTATTGATATAGGTAGGTTGGATTGCACTCTCATCATGGAGTACCAACCTTCTGTCAATTGTGCAAGAGTGCTATCAGATAGCTGGGGAATTAGCTCAAATGGTAGAGCGCTTGCTTAGCATGCAAGAGGTAGCATGATCGATGCCTGCATTCTCCAGCCATTTTCCTTTATTTTGCTCCCTCCATAGAAAGTCCTTCATCCAGTTTCTTCATCTCCTCCAAGGTTGCTCAGCCTAATGCTGCAAGCTTTAGCTTGAAGAGATGATGGATCCTTTTTCTGTAAGCTGTGCTTTATGGAATAGTGCCCTCTGGAGACCAAAATTGTCCAAACATTGTCCAAGCTCATAAATAACACTCATATTTCACAATATAACAATAAGTTAGTTTTCAAAATGATACACCTGAGCGGTTGCAGTCCCTGAAAGAACATTGATATCTACAGGACTTCTTGAATGAGCATGTTAGTGTCCTTCACCCAAGATCAACTTTAATATATGGCTAGTTGTGTTCCATTCCATGGTTTTGTGTCTGACCCCCACACCACTGTGGTGAGGAACTCTCTTCTCTGCTTCCTTTTACCTATTGGCCCTCCAAGAGGAGCTGCACAATCCATCTAAAATCAGCATGGGCCAAAGAGCAAAGAAACTGCAGGATCACACTAAATGAGGTTCCTTCCTGGGAGGCAGAGGAGAAAAGGAAGAGGAGAGGATTCTTTAGCATCGTGATTGGTGACTGGCACACTGTCAGTGATTGACCCAAAGCAAGGTCAATGATCAAGAAATAATCAAGAAATATGGCACATGAGAAATCTCATCCTTGCAATGACTTTTTGTCTTGTTGCTAGTACTGGATTTTCATTTTTCTGTTTTGTATTTTATTCTTGTTGATAAAAAAAATCATTAATTAAAAAAATAAGGGACATGAGAAATTTCACCCTTGAAATGGCTAGCTATTGTTTGTTTCAGGATTTGATGTTCCTTCAAAAATGATACTCGAAAATAGTAAGCTGGGTTGGTATATAATTTATCCACTCCTTCCGTATAGCTGTCCTGTCTGAGTGGAGATGAGAACTTTGAGGAGATGAAGTTGCTCTTGATAGCCCCTTTGTGTGAGCTCCCTGATTTCAATTCCCTGTGTGCCTGACATCATTCCTTTCCTTTTGGAAAGAGAAACAAAAGCAAACAAATGTTCATTTATGTGCTTTATTTCAATACAAAGAACCTCCCCATTGACATTGTGTCCTATTATACTGTACAAGGTAACACAATTGGTAGTTTCTGTCCCCACTGTCCCTACCATCCTGGATAATTTATTCTTGTCTTAATTATCCTTGCTGATAATTCTTCAACTTCAACATTTGAAGAACATAAACTGCCTAAGCCAAGATACAACTACATATCCCTCCTCCATTGGTTCTTTTAGGAACTTCGCCCCAAAACAATGGGGTTATCAAATCTACACAGGGGTTATCAGATCTACACAGATTCTAGACATTTTCCCTCTTGTTCAGCCTCACCCCTTCTGCCAAGTAAGGAATCTGAGCAAGAATGAAGAGTACTTATCTGTCAGTTATTTTCTCTACTTTCCTTGTCCTTGGGTAAATTTGAAGAATTATTTATGATAATGGCTTTTACTAGCACTCAGAAAGAGTGGGAGACAGAAGGGTTGGAAGCAAGGTCCTGAAAAACGAGGTGATGGTGTGGGTGGGTGGGAATAATCATCATTTCTTATTTTTGATCTCATACATGACGGCTAACCAAATCAAAATTTGAACGTTTCCAAATGTTAAAGTGCAGTTTATCAGCTACAGTTATGCAAAATAAATCACATTTGTGAAAATCAATCGCTGGGTAGATAATCTAAACATTTGTTTATGAAAATGTGTATAGCCAACCAGCTCACTCTCAGTGACTCAGTGACTCTGGGCAGCTTACAAGGACAGACCTGGTGTCAGGGCTGCCTTAGATCAATTCCTAGGAAAGAAAATCCTTGACTCCATAGTTTCAGAGAAAAGGTACTGAATGCAGCAAAAGTCAGGCAAGATCTGAAGAAAAAACACATAAAAAACAACAAATTGAAAATCACCCCAGAGCCCGCCCACCCCAGTAGCAAAACAGACAGAGTCCAATCAATGTCCAGAAAGATGTTTTGGGAATGTCTCTAGTCCAGGTGCTCTGTGCCACCTTCGTGCATGCCATTCCCAGGATGGTTGGCCTTGAAGCTGTGAAACAACCCATGCTGGCCCCTCTGTCTCCCATAAGTCCAATCCTCCCCATCAGTTCCCAGCATTTCCAGTTTCAGCCCAACTGCATGTTTCCCCTCCCAAATGCCCTTGCTCCTTCCCTCCCCATTTCCATGGCAGCTGGCAGCAAGCTTGAGGAAAAGTGAAGATGGCCAGGTTGACACTTGGTTGACTGTGTCATGAACCCTAATAATATATTAAAAGTCAGTGCAGCCTGACTTCCAGCCAAATGAAGGTGATTTGGCTAAGGCTAAACCTCTTTATTGGGATTAAAACCCTCAAGAGTTCCCCAAACCTGGTTCATCCATCTGTTACAAATACGAAGGAAGGAAGGAAGGAAGGAAGGGAGGGAGGGAGGGAGGGAGGGAGGGAGGGAGGGAGGAAGGAAGGAAGGAAGGAAGGAAGGAAGGAAGGAAGGAAGGAAGGAAGGAAGGAAGGAAGGAAGGAAGGAAGGAAGGAAAGGCTCGTAAGATTTTAGGAACTGTGAATAATGTCTCTCCTGGTCCTTGCTTACCAAAATGTTACGTAATGAAGTAAAGCTGGAGAGAGGCAGTAAATATAAATGTTCACCAATTCATTCACTGACTCTTCTTTCCACTGCAGTCATTGGCTCTACTTTCATGGAGCTGTCTTCACCATTGCTTCATCAGAAGCTGTTTTAATGTGTCTGCTAAGGTTTCCACCCTGGGAGTTCTAGGAGGTGAGGAGTTGTTAAGCATCTTATGGCTCCTACCTGCATTGCAAGCCTTAATGACACCCATTTCTTCCCTCCTCTCCCTTGATTTGCATCTCTCCTCTTACTGAAAAAGGAACCCATCATGTCTTCATTGGAAAAAGACTTTCCATGAATGGGGCAAAGTAAAGAGAATGGCTGGAGAATTCTTTTTCTTCTTCTTGTGCCATATCCGTTATCAGACTTTGGTGATCATGTTGGTGATCCTGTTTTTATCAGCAGCCGCACGAAAAAGTGCTGCTGAGTTTTGTCCAAACCAGTCCCTTAGATTTTTGAAGTCATGATGTCCTTCTTCTGCCTGGACCTCGTTTGCCTTCAATCTTTCCCTGGAGGATTAAATGGAGTTGATCCTGCTATCTCTCACATGCTAAGTGAGCGCTCTACCATTTGAGTTAATTCCACAACTCCCTATCAACCTTGTTCTACCCTGTTACAAGAATTCAGGAAAAGATGCAGAAACAGAGGAAATGAAAATGATCCAATGATATAGCAAAATAAATGTTTGTGTCATGGTTCCGGTTGACGATCCCAACTAAGTAAGCACACTGGAGACATTCCAATCTCTCATGCAAATCTTTATTGGCCGAGCATACTGGAACTTAACTAAGTGGGAAAATAGTTCTGAGTTTGGGTGCCAGAACAGTAAATTAAAAGTATAGAAACTTCCTTCCCTCCTGACACTGCTAGTCACGTTCCCCAATTAAGCACCTCCATTTCCTAGCAACAATCTTAAAGAACATTTCTTCCCAGACTAAACTACTCCCCATACATTCCAGTGATCTCTGCTCCCACCTGCTGGCAAGCAAACTGGCAAGCAAACTGCTGAAACAAAATAAGAAATTTTGAAGCTTGACAGGTTGACTGGAAAATGAAAAACCCTAACTTTTCAAACAGCCATGAAGAGCTGGCCTTTCCCCCAGCTACTAGAGTAGTAAGATTGGAGCATGGGAGACTGTATAGATGAATGAATGTTGTTGGTGGATTGGGGTCCTGATTTCTCTTAATTTTTTGTTGTGTTGTTTTCAGTCTTTCAGCTGAGAAGATCATAGGAAGCTCGCTCCCCGGTATTCAGGATCCTTATAAGCACTATGTGCTTAGAGCAGAAAGCATTGTTAGAGACCCCCCACACACACACTTCACGGTCTGTTTCTGTTGCTTCCCTCTGAGAGGAGGTTTTGAAGTATTTCTAGCAGGACTACCCGATTCTGTAATAGCTTTGTTCCCTATGCCATCCGTCTGGTAAACTCGCAAGGTTTGTTTCTCTCGCCATGCACATGTATACATAACCCGAACTAGACTGTTGTTTCTCTGTGTCATATAATATATGTGGGTATATGCATAATTCTGTGTTTGTTTGTTTGTTTGTTTTTGTCATATTTATGTGGCGCATATCGGAGGTGGTGACCCTTTAAGAGCTGTATGCAATGAAATTTCACTTTAAGGTATGCCGATTAGTGTACATTCAACGTGACAATAAAGTATTATTCTCTCTATTCTCTCTGTGTGTGTGTTTTTATCACTATTGTTCGCTATCCAGAGTTATGCAGAAGAAGATGGGTGGCTATAGAAACCCTTTAAATAAAGACATATATAAAAATGGTCTAATAATGTGGCAAAATAGGGTACAGGTTGATTGAAAA